GGGCTCCGGGGCCCCCCTCTCCCCCGCTCCTCGCTGGCACCGGTTCTGTGTTCTGTAACGAATCAGGCGGCATGCATTACACTTCAAGCCGCGTCTCCTTTGTATTAGGAGCTGAATTGGACACTTCTTGAAACGATGCCTCTGAAGTCAAATTACACGTAAAACCAAGCTCTACACACTGCGGACTCTACAGGTGGACCTCGGTCTGCACTCTCATCTGAATGACTAAGGGCTTGAATGAGCTTCTCTGGAAGTTTCCATAAATGCTCGCTTAATAATGTATCAGAAAAAAAAAATCAGGTCTGAGTTTAAGGGAAATGACTGCAAATGATTCCTTTTATCTGATGACAAAAGCCTTGCTGGCATTTAAGCAGCTTTTATTCATTGTTCTTTGCCAAAGATTAGTAAGGGCCAATGGCAGCTAGAGAGCTCTAGAGAATGGAAATGGAGATGTTCCACACGCACCACTTTGGATATCCAATGAGATAGAGTATAAAGATCTGAGAGGCAGGCAGGCTAATAGGCAGCACAAAGGAACCATAGCAAATGCAAGACAAGGTAGACTTAGTATTATTCTATTACTGTATTTGGTCACTATAATATGCAAAATCTAAGAACAGAATCACTGTTGTTCAATGCCTCTACATTTTTTTAATTAACTTATTGCAGAGCTCAGTTAAGGAAGTACATTAAACTCTGAGGGTGTGAACAGGTAGCTGGGACCATGATGTACAACAACAGACAGCTCTACTCATTTCCAACTCTTGCCTAGCCCTCCAGGGCTCTACACAATCTTGCCGCTCAAAGTGTGGTCCTTGGGCCTGAAGCATTGGCAACCCTTGGAAGCTTGTTAGAAATGCAGACTCTCCGGCCCCACTCCAGACCTGATGAATCAGAATCTACACATTAACAAGATCTCCAGGTGATTCATATTCATGTCAATGTTTTTTGAGAAGCACTAGCCTCAAAGTTGGCTTGTAGCTTGTATTGCTGGTGAGAATATTCAATTTCACAGCCATCAATCACATAATAAACAGAATGAGCGTACAAGTGCCTGCCAAAATACGCTTTGAGTAATAACATGATTTAATCAGTTATCTTGCCTATCAGTTTATAAACGTGCTTTAAAGTTTTAATGTGTGGGTGAGGAAGAAACTTCCTTTTACCCTTCTAGATTCTTCTGGCTGGTGTAAGAATTAAATTAACATGAAATACATTAACAAGAGAAAATAGCTAAATTCAGTTACATACATCTGTATGGAAACTTCAGGTACGAGATAGTCAGAGACCCTCACATATATGAGAGGTTCAGAGACAGGAAGGTAAAATGAGATATCCATGACATTCTGAGCTAAGATGAGGTAAAGAGCCTTGGGGCTTCAGAGGGGAGCAAAGCCATTCAGAGGATAAGAAGAGCAGATGTTAAGGAATTAAGTGTTTGCTTGGCCCTATACATAAATCATAAAGTCATTTCTGGTGATAACTAGTATGTGCAAGGTCCTTAATTTAGATTCTTTAAGGGAGAGGTAGAAGTTTCTTGTGAGCCTGGAAGATTTTGACTGCCTTCAACTCAAAATAATTCAAGTGCCAAAGGGCCACATCTCTGAGATGCCCGTTCTGAAACCCTTCAAATGCTACTAGCTAGTAGTCTAAAACAGTTAACAGAATTGTACAACTAAGAAGTATGCTTACCTAAGATAAATACAATTTATTAGGTAAATAAAATTTATTACATCACTAACCATACAACTGACAACAAAAAAGTTAAACTATAAATGGTTTGGTTTTTCAAGGGTACAAACATTTCACTTTTTCAACCTATTGCTAAATCAATCAATTTAGGCCAGGATGTGTATTTTGCCCAAACTGAGTATTTTAGCTGTTGTTAAAACAGTTAAATCAGTCTAAACTCAAATAAGTTATAGGTGGTCCAGCTACAGATAACATGACTAGCCAAAAGTCTGGTATATAGGATTCAACATTACATTCTTTCCTTCAACTCTTTTCTTTCAAGCGTATTCACATACATATACTCCTGCCATATGGGTAATTAGGCTGCCATTCCATTTTTAAATCATCGAATGATTACAGAATAGATACTACTATGTGCCAGGTATTGAACTAGACTCTTTTGTGCATGTTCTCTCATAATTCCTCTTGGACTGAGAAAATTAACCTCTGTTTTACAGAGGAGGAATATAAGTCTCAAAGAGATTGAGCAACTTGTCCAGTCACATAGCAGGAAATGGTGGCACACGGAATCAGGCGGGGATTTGTAAATACCTTAAATGGTACTCTATTAGGCCAGATTTCTGAAAAGCTGGGAATTGAAGTGGACTCGTGATTTGATTGACAGTTTCCAACTAGAATCTGAATTACAAAGGAGAGCACCTGGTAGATATTTTCACAAAGGTTAGCTTCTCACAACAGGTATATAAGAAGCCATGTTGAAACTGATGCTTTTAAATACATAAGAAAATATATCACTTATTTTGTGAAAATAAATAATCCCTGTTTAATGTTTTCTGTAAATATTTTAATGTAATTTATTATAATCGGAAAAGTTTAATACAATTTATTATAATCAGTAGAGTTTCAAATGTTTAGTCTCTCATTTTTCTATTTTCTGTTTCATTAATTTCTGCTCTAATCTTTATTATTTTCTTCTTTCTGCTTGCTTTATGTTTAGTTTTCTCTTCTTTTTCCAGTGTCCTGAAGTGGAAGTGTTGGCAGTGGGAAAAAATGGCACCAGGTGTTAGGTGGAGTCAAACAGGACCTTGGTTCAGCAACCTCAGTACTTGAGTTCCAGCTAAGAAAAAATTCAGAACCAAGACTCAAACTATACGAGAAAGTTTATTTAGAAAGTCATAGAGGTAGAATTAGTAAGCCTAGAAGAAATGGGTTTTAGGAAACAGGTTACAGAGGCAAAAGAAGGGCCCTTGGAGCTTAGGAGAAAGAGAGAGACAAGGGAAAAGTGCTTGCGGGGAAGGGGGGGAGGAAAGGAAAGGCGCTGGCGTGCTCCATAGAGAGAGTCGACCTGGGTCCTCTGTCTACAGGGTATTTATCTGGAGGTCTCAGGGGAAGATCCCAGTAGAATATTCACTAGCTTTCCAGGTGTGCCCTTTCAGGGTCATGGTCTCTACTACTTGGTAGGCGCCAGGGCAGGGGAGCATTAGTCAATGTAGCTGGGGAGTCAATAATCTAGTTTTGTTGCTTTTCTGGGCCTGGAGCTGAAATACAACTGAGGCCTAGATGTATCTGATTGAGGTCGATCCCCCTCTAAGAGGATTTAACTGCCTGACTAGCAACATGCCAGGGGAGGAAAGGTCAGGGGAGGGTCTGAATGACATGACCCGTGATGTGAAAGGTCAGGGGTATAAACCAAAAGACCAGTGATATGCTAGGGGAGGAAAGGTTACCTTGGGGGCAAGATCCTTGTTTTTCTAGTTTTGCCTGTTGCTAGGCAACTGAGGTTTTCTGCCCTGGTGACCCTTGGTACCTGGCCTATTGTCCTTGCTCTGCTCTTGTCTGTCTACCACAGAAGATTAGATTATTGATTTGAGATATTTGTTCTTTCCTAACAGAGGCATCTATAGCTATACATTTCCCTTTAAGCACTGCTTTTGCTGCATCCCATAAGTTCATTTTCATTCATCTTGAAGTATTTTATGATTTTTTCCTTTGACCTATTGGTTATTTAGAAGTATGATACTTACTTTCCACATTTTTAGTTTCCCAGTTTTGTTTTTTTTCTGCTGTTGACTTCTAATTTCATTCCACTTTGGTCAGAGAAGATACTATGTTTTACTTCTGTCCTTTTATATTTATTGAGGTTTTTTTTTTGTGGCCTAGCATATAATCTATTCTAGAGAATGTGCACTTCGGAAGAATATATATTCTGCTACTGTTGGGTGTGGTCCTCTATAGATATCTGCTAGTATAGTTGGATTACAGTGTTGTTCAAGTTTCCTTTTTCCTTGTTGATCTTCTGCCCAGCTGTTCTCACCATTACTGAATATGGAGTACTGAAGATTCCAACTATTATTACTGACTTGTTCATTTCTCTCTCCCTTTGTGTCAGTTTTTGCTTCATGTATGTTGGTGCTCTATTCTGAGGTGCATCTATGTTTATAATTTTTAAATCCTCCTGATGAATTGATACTTTCATTATAGAACTCTTTGATAAACTTAACCCTATCAGTAAAGTGAAAGAAACCAGTCACAAAAGACCACCTACTACACGACTGTAATCATATGAAATATCCAGAACAGGGAAATCTACAGAGATAGAAAGTAAATTGGTTGCTTAGGGATGGAGATGGAATGAGGACATAGTGGAGTTGATAGCTAAGGGGTACAGGGTTTCTTCTTCAAGTGATAAAAAATATTCTTAAAATTGACTCATGTTGGGTGCACATATCTGTGAATACACTAAAAACCACTGAATTAGACACTTTGAATGAATGAATAGTAAGGTATGGGAACTATATCTCAATAAAGCTGTTTTAAAAAGACTATATGTCACTTATGTTGTAAAAAGTAAGTACTCCTTACTTAATGTCTCCTATAGATATTTTGATCTATCAGTTATTTAGAGAAAAGTATACCTGCAGTGAAGAAAACACTTAAGAAATGCTGTGCAGAGTTTACTTTTTGACCACTAAGGGGAAAAAATGTAGTCGCAGAGAATCATCAGGGTGATTTGGGCCTGGAAAGCCAGAGGATGATTTAAGGCTCTAATTGAAAATAAAGAACACTTATTTAAACAGTAAAGTTGAAAAAAATTAAGGCATTAACCAGTGAAAGGCTACAATTTCCATCAGAGCATAACCCATGCAAATTCTAACATAGCTGGAGGACATTTCATTCACAGGTAGCCTGTTGCATGAAAATGCAGGAATAAAAGTACTTCTTCCAAGTAGAAAACATCTTCTTCTAACATAACACTTCCCTATCTTTTACCCGTCTGATCTTTTATCTTAATGAGTTAGATTCAGATTTATTGACCTACTTAGCCCAAGTAATTTCTACCACATTAATCATTTTAGCAAG